CCCAATCTCCCCTCTTTACTGAGCCACTGCATTGTATCATGGGAATCACATGGATGTGGTGCACCATTGAAGATGCAATACAGCTGCGGAACCCCGCCGCAGAGAATGAGGGCATGAGCCATCCACTTCAACTCCCATTAAGCACCATGTCAACATTTGCAAATAAATTTCTTTTTTTATTTCAGCAAAAAGTTTTCAGATTTTAAACAAAAAAGGTCAAATTTTTCTATGGAAAGTTGACACTTCATGGAAAATTTTGCTTTGTCAAAAACCCAATTTTCCTTAAAAAACATTTTGAGGGAAAATGTTGGACCAGCCCTAGAAACCAGATAGGACAATTAATCTGAAAGCCCCAGATGTATCCATCTGTTACTAGGGCAGAATATTCTTCAGAGAGCCCCATCACCCACAGCCACACAGTTAATCTAACAGAACTGTCTCTTGTTGACCTACGGGGCACATTACAAAGCCTGCGTATACCCACAGGTCTATTCTGCGGGGGCGGGGGTTCAGCTAGGTTAGGGAGTTCTTTTAGGCCCAAATTGTTAAGAGTCAGTGCCTAAAGTGAGACACTTAGCCATAGGGGTCATTTCAGAAAAATTCAGGTGGGCAAAATTTGCTTTCCTGATGACCACATCCCAAGGGGGGAGGGGATGGGAGAAGGGGAGGGCAAAAAGTGGAAGACCTAATGGAGCATGGGTGAGGGAGAAAACCAAGGTCTCGCAAGGGACAACTGCCCCTCTTGCCCAATAGGTGCAGGGGCATTATTTGCTATCTCCATATTTAGGCATCTAAATAAGTGGCCTGAATTCCAGAAATTCTGAACACCTGGAGGACCAAATAAACCCCTGCTGTATGGAATTGGAGCTTCCATTTTAGTAAAGCATAACTAAACCTAGACTTGGCATGAGTAATTTCTGAAGAACAAAAATTCTCACCCCCTTTACCTCTCTCTTTCTCTGTCCTTTCCTCTGGTGGTCAAGGTGCAGACCGTTTCTATGACAACATCGAGGACATGATTGGTTATCGGCCATGGCCGCTGATTAAGATGTGCTGGCAGGTTGTCACCCCTGGTGTTTGCCTGGTAGGTACAAACTATGGTGAGGCAAGTTTGTACAGGGATCCTAGAATCTGAGTGAAGAAGAGAATTTGAGGGGGCACTATTGTTTCATAGAATTGCTGTGGAGGAGCAGTAGCTTCTCCGTAGTTGAAGCTGGAATCAATTTCCATTGTAAAGCCTTGTCTAAGGTCTGGAAATTTCATTTAGCCTGAAAATTGGCGTATTTATTCTGCAGGCAAAGGAGAATGTATCTGCAAAGCCTGAAGGGAATTGATCAAATCATTTTTGAATTTCAGCCCATTAAAGAATTACCTTGTTCTGAAATGTTCTCTTCTGTCTACATTTCTATGACTCCCGCTAGTTCAAAAACATCTTGTTCCTGCCCCTTGCTTTCCATAAAGTCAAATCACCTTGAAAATGCACCCACTGACTATGTTTGAAGAAAACAGTTTATAATTAAGGGAAGATATTAACTATTTTTGTCTCGTGCCCAGTTCTGTTTCCATTGATTTCAGCAGGTGGTATGGGCCTAATCCTGCTCCCATGAACGTCATGACATTTGTTTGCCATTGACCTCAATTGGATCAGGATCAGGCACTATGGCCAAAATCTTCTACAGCTTGGATAGGCACAAATAGCTTTTGGAGCTGCCACCTGAGGGCTCCGATGGGAGTTGAAAACAATCAGGGAGTTTTCAGAGCTGCTGCTTGGTCATGCATGAGTTGCTGAGAGCTCAGTGGTTTGAGTGCTCTATAGGGCTGGGTGCTGGCTGAGAGATCATCTTTCAACGAGTATTTTCAGAAAGGGCCTTGGGTGCCCCAGGGCTGTTCTCAGAACTCAAAAGTCATTCCTGTCAGAGGCATGACTAAGCCAAGAGTCACCAGAGAAGGTACCCAAACTGCAGCCCCTGATTGGCTGCTCCACAGTTTCTGCACCCTGACTACAGAGAGCTTACAAATAAGGACCTTCCTCCTACACATACACTGGAGAGAGAGGGAATTCCCCGGAGGTTTAGAGGATCCATGTTGGAGAGGGCAAGGCGAGGTAAGGATTTGGGTAGGGTCTGGAAAGGTGGCTGATAGGAGGTAGAAGAACACAGAGACTCACACTAAAAGGTTCAGGAGAGGGGAGGGGTTGGTGAATGGAAAACAGCACAGGGGGGAGGGAAAATTCCAAAAATCAAAACAATGTTTCAAAACTCAGTTAAGGCTGGTAAGTAACAGCAGTGTACACACCCATGACATTATTTCCAACTCCCAAACACTAACGAACAAGAATATAACTAGGTAATGAGACCACAAATCTTCTACTGCTTATACATCCCTTGTCAGGAACCATCTCTCACCACCTGTTTCTGACTCACCATGTACCCACCAGCTATTCTGACTTTTATGTTCTTCATTCCTCAGGTGACTTTCCTATTTTCACTGATCAAGTACACCCCTCTCAAATACAACAACTGGTACGTGTACCCTCTGTGGGGCTATGCTCTGGGCTGGTTGATGGCTCTCTCTTCCATGATCTGCATTCCACTCTACGTCATTTTCATCCTGCTAAAAACCAGGGGATCACTAAAGAAGGTAAAAGAAGGTCCAGAACTTCTAGGTCCCAGATTCAAATCAGTGACTGAAGACTGTGTGAGTGCTTCCCATTGGCTTGTATGAAAAGAATAGATAGTCTCCAATAGAACCTCACAGTTATGAACCCTTGGGAATGGAGGTTGTTCGTAACTCTGAACAAAACATTATGGTTGTTCTTTCAAAAGATTAGAATTGAACATTGACTTAATTCCTTGACTTTAGCAAAGCTTTTGATACAGTCTCCCACAGTATTCTATCCAGCAAGTTAAAAAAAGTATGGGCTGGATGAATGGACTATAAGGTGGATAGAAAGCTGGCTAGATCATCGGACTCAACAGGTAGTGATCAACGGCTCCATGTTTAGTTGGCAGCCGGTTTCAAGCGGAGTGCCCCAAGGGTCAGTCCTGGGGCCGGTTTTGTTCAATATCTTCATTAATGATCTGGAGGATGGCGTGGATTGCACTCTCAGCAAGTTTGCAGATGACACTAAACTGGGAGGAGTAGTAGATACGCTGGAGGGTAGGGATAGGATACAGAGGGACCTAGACAAATTAGAGGATTGGGCCAAAAGAAACCTGATGAGGTTCAACAAGGACAAGTGCAGAATTCTGCACTTAGGACGGAAGAATCCCATTCACTGTTACAGACTAGGGACCGAATGGCTAGGAAGCAGTTTTGCAGAAAAGGAGCTAGGGGTTACAGTGGACGAGAAGCTGGATATGAGTCAACAGTGTGCCCTTGTTGCCAAGAAGGCTAATGGCATTTTGGGTTGTATAAGTAGAGGCATTGCCAGCAGATCGAGGGACATGATCATTCCCCTCTACTCGACATTGGTGAGGCCTCATCTGGAGTACTGTATCCAGTTTTGGGCCCCACACTACAAGAAGGATGTGGAAAAATTAGAAAGAGTCCAGCGGAGGGCAACAAAAATGATTAGGGGGCTGAAGCACATGACTTATGAGGAGAGGCTGAGGGGACTGGGATTGTTTAGTCTCCAGAAGAGAAGAATGAGGGGGGATTTGATAGCTGCTTTCAACTACCTGAAAGGGGGTTCCAAAGAAGATGGATCTAGACTGTTCTCAGTGGTACCCGATGACAGAACAAGGAGTAATGGTCTCAAGTTGCAGTGGGGGAGGTTTAGGTTGAATATTAGGAAAAACATTTTTTTACTAGGAGGGTGGTGAAGCACTGGAATGGGTTACCTAGGGAGGTGGTGGAATCTCCTTCCTTAGAGGTTTTTAAGGTCAGGCTTGACAAAGCCCTGGCTGGGATGATTTAGTTGGGAATTGGTCCTGCTTTGAGCAGGGGGTTGGACTAGATGACCTCCTGAGGTCCCTTTCAATCCTTATATTCTATGATTCTATGATTAATACAGCTTTGAAACTTTACTATGCAGAAGAAGAATGTTGCTTTCCCTTTATTTTTTTAGTACTTTACATTTAGTACAGAACTGCACTGTATTTGGGTTTTGGTTTTTTTGTCTCTGCTTCTGCCTGGTTGCATACTTCCAGTTCCAAATGAGGTGTGTGGTTGACCAGTCAGTTCATAACTCTGATGTCCATAACACTGAGGTTCTACGGTACTAGTACGAAACCATCCCGGCAACTGGCCCTAATTGAACCTCTTGTTGAAAGGCTTAGAAGAGAGGCCACAGATGAATAGAGGTGTGGGGAATAAAGTACCCTCCTGCTTCCAGCGGTAGTCACTGTGGATCACATTTGAGACACATGAGTGGGACAGTGGGGATGAAGATAGTCCCCATGCTGCCCATGTTGTCCTTGATCTGTGGCACTGTCAGTACAGCAGTTTTCACGATCGTGAATGTCATTCAGACAGACAATTCAGTGCGTAACATTTCTTTAAAGGGATAGACCTGGTTCACTGAGGCCTGGCACCGTGTTCGTTGGTTACATCTGTAAAGTTGGCATAAGTTAGAATGGGAGCAATTTGCACTAGTGTAAAATGATGACACAAAATGCAGGGAAATGGAGAATCTGGCCCGAATTGTTTGGAAGTGCTTCAAAAAGAATATAGTGAATCAATGTGGTGACCAAGTAGAAATGTCTCCTATCTACCTCTCCTCTATAGGCATTTGACCATATCTGTCAGTTCTTTCCAATGCATCCCTTTTCCTGTCAGCCCTTTGATTATCTAGCTGAGAGTTGTAATGTGATGAGAATGGAAGGAGCTGTGTAAGAGAAGGCTCTCTTGCCAATATCATTTGAGACCATGAAAGGATAGGGAAGAGGCCAGTGTAGATGAATGGAGGGATTTGGAAGGAGTGCAGAGAGAAACCAGAATTGTGCATTTGGCTGGAACAAGTCCATGGAGAGTTTTAAAAAGAAAGAAGAAGTGAGGTTCTTACCCACGAAAGCTTATGCTCCCAGTACTTCTGTTAGTCTCAAAGGTGCCACAGGACCCTCTGTTGCTTTTAAAAAGAAAGAGGAACGTTTTGGACTGGATGCTGTAGAAAATGGGGAAGCAGCAGGGTCATTTGAAGCTGAGGCTGAAGGTGATGTGATGAGCCTTTGTGGGACAAAGGTACTTTCATTTGGTAGCTGCCAGTTTATAGGAGCCCAAATCCTGAAGCCCTTACTCAGGCAAAACTCCCAGTGACTTCATTGGAAGATTTGCCTGTATTAGGAGTTATGGGTCCATGGTCAATGGGCGATACACAAAACAGTGGTCAGGATCGCCTCCTATGATAAAACTCACAGGATGGGGCTCAGAGGAGGACATCTCAGTGAGGATCTCCTTGGCTAAGTCCTCTCCTGATCATTCGGTCTGGGTGGCCTTGCGTTTGTCTGCTGCAGAATGACCTGCAGCGGCGGTTGCTACACTGGGAAGGTTCCCGTGAATTTGCTCAGCTCCCAGGGGACCAATAAGCACCTCGGCCTTCCTGGAGGGGGCCAGATCCGCAGTTCTCATAGACTCATAGACTCATAGACTTTAAGGTCAGAGGGGACCATTATGATCATCTGGTCTGACCTCCCGCATGATGCAGGCCACAAAGCCGTCCCTACCCTTTCGCTTGACTCTGCTGTTGAAGTCCCCAAATCCTGTGGCTTAGAGACTTCAATTAGCAGAGAATCCTCCTGCTTGCGATCCCTGCCCCATGCTGCAGAGGAAGGCGAAAAACCTCCAGGGCCTCTGCCAATCTACCCTGGAGGAAAATTCCTTCCCGACCCCAAATATGGCGATCAGTGAAACCCCGAGCATGTAGGCAAGATTCTCCAGCCTGACCCTCATTAGTCATTATACTATTTACCTGCCATTGCACCGTGTTCCTTTGACTAAAATCATGTTATCCCATTAAACCATTCCCTCCA